TACCTCCTTTTCCCATCCCATAAACCCTTATATTAATTTTTATATTTCATTTATTTTAACAATTCTTTAGATCACGAATTCAAACTGATCCACACCCAATCCGGATCCCCAATCTTGCAATCCGACGATGATATGTGTGAACAATCTACCCACCGATCCTGGCCTTGAAACACTGACAAAAATTTCTTTCAACTTACTATTGTCTCTTTTGTGAATTTCTTTAAATAAAATAAAAATTAGGTAGGATGTTAAACAGTTGTTCTGTTTTTTTGATCTATTTGTATTTTTTTTTTCATAATTAGCTTTAACTAAAGGATGGTGTAGTTTCTAGTATAAAATACTATTTTACATAGAATAAATAGAGGATCTTAGCTACCTTATGACGTGCTCTTAAATAGTGAGTGTGTGTGTGTGGAAATGTCTGATTTTCTTTCATTTTGATTGGACAGGGTGCTCGTATACCCTTTGGTGGGCAGATTGAAAATTACAGGAACACCGTTAATCAGGTGATAGCTTTGTTAGGGGACGAAGACTCAGCTGCTGATTATCTTAGCAAATGCATATACTCAGTGGGGATGGGGAACAACGACTATCTTAACAACTACTTCATGCCCGCCTTATATTCAACCAGTCGCCAATACACACCCCAAGCTTATGCTGATGTCCTCATCCAACAATACACACGCCAACTTACGGTAACTCATCCGAAAATCATGGCAAAATAAATTTACATACAGACCGAGTAATTTTACCCCGAAACTATCCTTGCATGTTTTTTCACACCAATCGGTCCACGGCAAAAAGGTTTACCATAAAAAATGAATAAATTAGAGTGAGCAAACATTCATACCTCCTTACATGGGGGAAGTTCTTTCATATGAATTTTTTTTCTGACAATTTTGTCATAAACGAAATGTACCCAAAGTATGAAATCATTTACAAAGGAAAGAAAATACTTCAGTCATGTTTAATGCTAGTCCCAAATTTGTTGTAAAATTGGATTGCAGCAATTGTACAACTTGGGTGCAAGGAAGGTGGCTTTAATTGGAGTGGGTCAGATAGGTTGCAGCCCAAACGCTCTGGCTCAAAATAGTCCAAATGGTGCCACTTGCGTACAACGATTAAACCAACCCATTCAAATATTCAACTCAAGGCTACGCTCACTTGTGGATTACTTCAACAATAATTTCCAAGGGGCAGCCTTCATTTATGTCAATGCTTACGGAATTTTCGACGACCTCATTAGTCGCCCCCGTGCTTATGGTAAGTAAATATTAACGGTCTTATGCTCTGTCTTCTCTCTTTAAAACAATTGACTCTTTAAAAATGGGTAGTCTCACTGATAAGTGCATAAAATCTTTTGACATATTTGACATAATGTGAAAGATCTAATTCAGTTATTACTTGAATTCAACCCCCTATTACTAATTGATTTATTTTTCAGGTTTTACTGTGACAAACGTGGGGTGTTGTGGAGTGGGAAGGAATAATGGGCAGATAACATGCCTCCCTTATCAAACTCCATGTCAAAACAGGAGACAATATGTCTTTTGGGATGCCTTCCATCCCACAGAGGCTGCAAATATTGTAATAGCAAGGAGATCCTACGCTGCACAATCCTCGTCCGATGCTTACCCGATTGATATTCGACGGCTGGCACAGCTCTAAGAGCAAACTGTTTCATTACTAAATTTGTACTAATATATGCATCAAATATTTATATACTAGTCGATCTGTACCCTTTAGTATTTATTGATAAATGCTCAAGTGAGATTTTTGATTCATGCTTAAAGCTGCCCAGCATGGGCAAGGAAGCTCCTAGAGATTTGGTCAATATAAAGGTTTGTTGGGTCATGAGTTTCTTTTTTGACATTTTGGGATGAAAAGATGTATGGCTTGGAAATTGTACCAGTAATTTGTTCAGTTAAAATAAATTTTGGTTGGATTTGATCAGTTTAAATGAACTCTGATTGGGCTTTTAGGTCTTCTTCTTTTCCTTGTGGGACTGTTACAAATAAAATCCATCAGTTTCCTAAAAATGCCCATAGGTTTGATGTGTCTCAAGAAAAACCAATAAAATACACAAAACTAAGTTCATATATTTTTCCAAATCAAAGAAAAAAAACAGTTTAAAAATAAGAGAGGTATTGCATTACAAATTAAAGTTACATAGTAAGTGGAAACATCACACTCTCAGCAACTCTGCCTTTTTGGCATAGTGTTCTACAAAAGAGAATGCTAATGACTGTCCCCTCATATTTCCACGCATTCATTTTACTTCTAACATAAATTAAGCAATAAGAACTACCAACCTCAGACCTTCAAGGAACAGTCTCCATGGATCCTTGTATCCATTTATCTGATTGAATGAAATAAAGAAAAACAGAATCAGAACTGCAGTCTTTAACATGAGAGAGAGAGATTGAATGAAATAAAGAAAAACAGAATCAGAACTGCAGTCTTTAACATGAGAGAGAGAGAGAGAGAGAGAGAGATTTTTGAGGCTTTTAAGCTTGTTCGCATACAATTGCATCAAAACCACACAGATCCTTTCATTAATACTTCTATATACCAAGATAGAAAAGAGAAAACATGCACATATCAATATTGCAAGCTACAAATGGACTTCATGAAATTAAAAGAGCGAGCATGCTCGAGGACAAGAAGTTCCATAAGAGAACTAACGAAAGAGAGCATCTACCCATAGTGAGTCGGTAACTTGAAAGGATGACAACTAAAGGCTTTTGCAGTCCACCAGAGCACATGCATTGTGAGTATGAGATCTAATTAGTCAAAACAATATAACTGATAATCTTTTTGATTAGCAAGATGTTTCTTGAGATTATTTCAGCAAGCTTCTCGATTTGACTTTGAATAAAACTCAAAACCAGAGCTTATGCTGAAGAACTACGCTTCATGAGTTCACATCACTTTGCATTTGCCTGGAAACCAAACCAACATTAAATTTCAAATTCAGTTCCTTAAGATAACAGAATCTTCGTTGGCACTTACCATCTTCTCATCTCCATTTGAGAATGCCATTTAACCATCTATTTTAGCTCCAACTCATTTCAAGTCTTGTTGCTCATGCTTGCAATGCTTTAACCAATGGTTT